TATCTATTTATGTTTGACGAAAGTAGTGTTATGCAAGGAACTCACAGTAAACAGAACAGCCGGAATAGGTGTTAATCGATCCGTGTGCAAGTAACTGATAAACGCTGGCATTTGTTTGAGCTGACTAGCAACAACAAATATTCTCGATGTAGTCAATATAGTCCCATTGGCACCACCAAACGTTGAACAAGCAACAAATATTGGCATTATCCACCAAAACATTCCGTATATTCTATTAGCAAATGTCTGTTTTTGTAAGTAAACGGATAAAAATAAATCAAAATTATTCAATAATGTTTTTCATACCGACGGAACAATTTGGAAACAAATTAATAGGATTCAAAACGAGATAACTTTGGGTGTCTATTAGGGGAACTGGATAAAGATTGATCTTAACTAAATGATCTATTTATTTGATAGATTATTATTATTATTGGATTTTAATTTGCCGAGTAGTCCCACAATAGGCCGAAACAGTCGTCTAGTGTGTTCATGTTTTCCATCGTGGTCTAGCTTCAATTAACTCATGATCTAAACTATTAAAAATAATTGTTAATGCATTAGAGTTTCGTTCTTTCATGAAATATTTGTGGGAAATTTTCGGTTTACTGTGGAACATAAATCATATACGAACCTAAACACAACAGGGATATTTATCACACAAATAACACACTACATAGAACTCATTTAGTATATATATTGATTTGGGAAATAATTCATTCAGATACCATGTTCGAGTACAACGTAACTTGAGACCTGTTCTTACCATTTAACAAATTAATACTGATTCTGAGAATTTGAAATATGTAACGACTTATATTTATACAATAAATTTTTGGAAATCGGATGCCAAGATGGTGTGATCTTGAACGGTGAAAATACATTAATAAAATTCTTGGTTTGTAGGAAAATTGATTAAAAGCATCAATACACCAGTAAAATTACTATTCCACCTACCACAGCCACAGCTCTTGTGGTCAAAATCTCTGCAACTGGTACGACTGTCACATAGGCTACATTAGCAGCTGTGTAAACTAGAGTCACTAGTAAGCACGATACCACAATTGCTATGGGCAAATGTTTCCTGGGGTTCTTCATTTCTTCAATCATACAATTTAAGTAATTCCAGCCAGAATAAGCAAATAAGCCACTGTAAAATGCATTAGCTATTTTACCAGGACTCCAGTCCGAATCGACAAAAGGTTCTTTCAGCTCTTCATAACGACCTAAAAGAAGTTAAGCAATAAAGTACAATGCGAGATATCTAAATGAATTTACTAACTAAATAAATATATCATGGCATAAACAGTGATTACAATCACAAATACATAGAGATTATAAATCCTAATCAATTGCTTAGAAGAGATAAATCACAGTGAATTACTAACAGCAATTGAAAACACCTGAAAAGGAGAATGTATTTTAGACAACAGATGTACAGACTAAACAAGTTAACTTTTTTAAAAGAAATATTGAGTCATTAATTAGTCATCAGAAATGAAGTGAATTTTTCTACCAGTATTTTATGGCAAATTGTTGAACCAAATGAAATATTCAGTAGACGCTCAACTTCGAGATCAACAGGCTGATAATCCGTCGGATACCGACTAACTCGCTAAAATACTCATCATTTTTGAACCATCGATTAAATGGAATTTATCACTATACATTTCCTTCCCTGAGTATGCAAGAGCATTTGATAACGTGGATAGTCAAACTTTATGGAAACTTCTTCGATACTAATGTGCACCTGAGAAGATTGCCAGCATCATACGCAATTCACATGACGAACAACAAGGCTGTTCACTCTCTCCCTTCCTCTTTCTTCTGGTGGTTGACTGGATTATGAGGACCTTAAAATCTGAGGAGAAGCACGGAATACAATGAACGACTTGGATGCAACTAGATGATTCAGACTTCTCAGATGACCTGCCTCTTCTATCCCATACATACCAGCTGATGCAGATGATGGTAACTAATGTTGCAGCAGCCTCAACATCAGTAGGCCACAAAATACGAAGAGGAACAAGTAAGATCCCCAAATACAATACGGAGAACGCCAATCAAATCACACTTGATGAAGAAACTCTGTAACAGGTGGAATCTTTCATGTGTCTAACTTGAGCATCATCGTCGATGAACGTGGGGGATCCGATGCAGACGTAAAAGCGAGGATTGGCAAAGTAAGGACAGCATTCCTACAGTTGAAAAACATATGGAACTCAAAACAGCTGTCAACCAATATTAGTCAAAGCCTTCAAAACGAACGTCAGGACAGTTTTACTGTATGGAGCTGAAACTTGGAGAACTACCACAATCATCATGAAAAACGTAGAAGTATTTATAAGTAGCTAGTCACTTGGAATCCTAAAGGAACATGTGAACGTGGAAGAACAAACAACACGTTGCTCAGGGAACAGGAGGTAGACAACAAAAGAATGAATAGCAGTTGGAAACAGCAGGAATGGGAACACAGGACAGAGCTGGTTGGAAAATACCAGTCAGTGTCCTATCCTGCACGAAGGATAACAGACGTAAGTAGGACGAAGGATCATTTTACTCATTCATAATTTATTGAAGAATCACTCTATTCAGATCGAAATCTTTGAAAAAATAAAAGTAGTCTGACATGTCATTAGAAAAGTCATATAATCAAAGAGCGATAACAGAAATGAAATGTTCAAAGGTTGTTGCATTGAAACAACGTTTAATGTAAGAAATATTCAATCAATTAATTAATTATGTGTATTCTTGACAGAATACAGGGAAGATTATTTTTCTCAAGCTTGATGACTAATATTGCGAATTTTTAAACTCACCGAAGTGCGTCTTATCACATACAGTCGTACAGTTTTGTTCTTCGAAAAATTTTATACAACACTCACTATTCTGTAAACAAAATATCATTCTTATTTTAGACTAACTTAACATACTTGTTGCCATTTAGTTTAGATTAAACAACCATTTAATCTGAAATGAGAAACTCCTGAATGATGCACACCAATAAAATCTTCATATCAAGATTAAACCACTCATGGTCCAACAAAAATCACAAAACAAAACCGACTGTAACTATTATAGATAACAAAATGTATTTAAAATAATTTTAAAGAATGATATAATTAAATTACCAAATCCAATCTGTACAAATCCGGTTACAATGATCATTATAAGAGCGGCAAGTTTCGCAAGTGTAAATATATCTTGTATTCTGGTTGAAAATTTGATTGAAAACGAATTTGCGAAGCTTAAAAATGCTAAGCAAAATGAAACAAGATGACAATAAATTGGGAAATTTGCATTAAAATATCATCAGTGTGATCGTTTTAAACATTTCCAGATGAAAAATCATTAGTAATAGTGAAAACAGCAAACTATTGTGAAATAGTAACTCACCAAAGACAATGGTAGATGTGTCGCTCAAATTCGTGGATTGGTTGAATTTAGACATTAACACCGTTGGATGCCGGCTGGCTCAATGGTCCAGTGCTTAGGCGCTCGCGCTCGAGATTGATAGGTCCTGGGCTCAGATCTCGTGAGGCGGGATCGTGGATACGCACTGTTGAGGAGTCCAATCATAAGCCAAAACGGCCATCCAGTGCTTCAAGGTCTCCTTTAGTGGTCTAGCTTTAATTGACTACTGATCTCAACCATTGAAAAAACTACATAACCTTCTTCTAAGTGAACTTCTTCCAGTATCTTATTATCAAATTAATTTATCACATATCGATTCCAGTGATACTTTTAGTTTAACAAGTAATTAGATAATAAACGAACCGTTTATTATGTAAACAATGACTAGAATATATTATTTATTCCAAACAGTTTACTGAAGTTACAGATTATTAACTACCAGTAGTATTGAGATCTATAAGCCAACTAATCAAAATATTTAAAGTGTCAAAAAACAGAATGATTACTGATGTAATACATTTGAATTCATCTGGTATTAATTATGATTAAATCGTTGTCATTTTGCAAGTCTGTCAAAACCACAATTTACGATTGAAGGCACACAGTCACCAGAAATTAACACTTCTCAGTTTTCCTTTATTTACTCACAACTCATAATTTAACTGTCATCAGTTTTTCACTTTCTGATTCGTATTTCGTTTATTCACATTTCGACACTTTCGGCACTTATCACTTATCACTCAACTTTTATTCAATTTCACTGGTTTCAGTCCACAATTATTCTCGTTCATCATTCTTCTGTCGTACATGCTTTGCGTCAAAATCCCTACAGATCACATACATTTGGCGGGAATGTCGAAAACAATCAGAATTTATGGTATTTTTCTCAAATGTTATTATACTCTATTCAAATTTAAAGAACAAACGCATTTTGATGGAATGATTCAGGTCATCCATTTCAAGGAACGAAGTAGCTGCTTACTAGTGATTTATGTTTATCAGCACTGTTATACTCTCACCCAGCAGTGTTTGTTATTTTTATGTTAAAAAACTGCATTTTGTGGGGGCCCTTGTCGAGTATCTTCATTTCCCGCTTTTCAAAAATACAAACAGCGCATTTTATCCATAACAGTGCATACGAGTTATTGTTGGTTGAGTATATAATTGAGCACATCTTAATTGATAAAATGGAAAAAACGCTGTAGGGAAATATTTTTAAACATACTAATACATAAAACCGCCAAAATCCTGATCAACGTAAAGGGCAGTGGACAGTCTGGATACAAAGGTACAACAACATACTCCCCAAATGTCAAAGCTACAATAGCGATTGCTACGGGTCTTACAACCATTACTTCCACCCATAAACGCAAAAATCCAATAAACGATCCAAATGCTTCATATACATAAATATAATCCCCTCCAGATCGCTCTATTATCGTGCCAAGTTCTGCATAACAGTACGCTCCGAGCATACTGAAGATCCCACATGCAACCCATATAATTAGACTAGCTCCTATGCTTCTGACATTCAGCAAAATACCAGTAGGACTGACAAATATTCCTGAGCCAATCATGGATCCTACTATGATGGTGATACTGGTTACAATACCAATAGATCGCTTCAGTTTTACATCATCTGGTTTATCTACGACAACGGTGACATCATCATCCAACTTCTTGTTTGTTGCCATGCCACTACAATATAAAATACATTATAATTTGCACTTGCAGTAATATAAAGTGGTCAAATGACTTTGAATAAAATGACGCAAGTTATAGAATATGTCTGACTTCAATCATATGACTTTCAGAGATTTTACTTTCATAAATTAAGATGGGATTAGCTATCAATCAAAAACAGGTTTGGACAAGTCGTACAATTGACATGTTCAGACCTGTTTTTTGATTGTTCACTTATAATATTCTTGCGTTCTTCCTTTTTACTATTTAAACTTTGATTAATTTTGATTTAGTTATTTATTCTCCGAAGCAGTGGCTTGTACTGTGTCACGAAAGGTCAGATAATCTCATTTTTTCTACTCATTGGGATATTACAAATATATTATTTTATTCATAACAACCTATCCAATGTTCAATTTATTCGAAATTATCAGGTCAAATCTTGGTAACGATACCTATTTCCACTTTGGTTTTAAACAACCCAACCATACAAATGAAATGGAAGACGATAGATATATTATGACATCAGCTTAGTAAAAGTTAAGCCAAATACTTATCTCCAGCCATAAACTCTGACATTCAACCGAAATATGAACGAGAAGTTACATGTGGTCTGTAAAACAATCAAATTATCTTAAGAGATCTCAGTTTAGACAAATTGGTGGTTTTCCAAAGACAACCGCTCTTCTAATTCAGTTAGTTACAATAACACTTGTACAATTCTCCAGTTCAAAAGGTGAGGAAATACTGCTACGTTTAGGCTAAATACATTTTTAAGAAAAACAACATAGTTTTATCCATACAAATTGAATAAATTTTTATTTCGACAGACATTTTGTCGAACAAGTTCGAAACCATGGTTGTCGAAAATATCTCTCGATAAAAAAGGTATGTCCTGTTGTTCTAGATTTTTAATGATAAGTTGACCTAAGTCTCGATAAACTCAGTTCCTCAAATAATTATGAATAAGTGAAGGGAGTACAGATAATTTTGAGCCGAGTTACTAGCTATCAGTTATAATTTAATCTTTAAGTATTGATAACGAAAACTTAACATGCAACTTTTAGGCTCATTCTCAGAATACCTATATTTATTTGTAAGGGTATGAACCTTTTTTGTCTCGGTTTTGAGAACCGAGTTTTGATTGTGCTCTTTTATAATATATGTATACTGGATGAATAGCCACACTGTACAATTAAGTCACAAATTCTTAAGTAACACTAGATAGTGGTTGATAGTGAAATCTAAGATTTAGCCAGGTTAGAATCTGTGTAAGTTTCAATACTGAGATACAGAAACCTTCAGCAAATAAGTTTCAAATAGAACGAAACACACTTCCTACATTATACTGCTAGCCACTATCTAAGTTTACCCAAACGTTTTTGAACATATTTTCAGATCTATTCGTTTAACAATACTAATTTTCATGTGAGTAATTTCCTAGCACTACTAAACGCACAGCGGATCATAACTAATTTCGAGGTTGGTTGGTTTCCATCATCTACTCGTCCCTTTTTAAGCAAACACCTTAAGTTTCTGGAAATATAACAAACAAAACGTTCTTTAATGCAACGCAGATAAATAAACGTTTACAAGCCGAATGTTCATTGGTATCAATATACACAACAGTTCTAGTACTACTAATCATTCGGATCATGTATCAAGGCTTTTCATATCTTAAACAATTTATAATAAGAAACGTTCGAACAAAACATTGCAGTATATATACTGGCTGCAAATCCTTTTGCGTACAATACCTTTAGTCCTCTAGTTGGTCACACACGACGTAGAAACTCCCACACATATGGGCTGGATTATGTTGCCACACTACAATAGCCCAACAGGATAAAATTATCGATTCAAATAGCAAGAATAATGTCAACACTATCTTTAAATTTTATTTATTTAGGATTCAGAGATACAGACCATGTGACTAGTCTTTGTTGAAAAAATGAAGTCATGTTGCAAATAAGGTGTGTCAATTTTCTATACCTAGATGACATTAGAATTTGTATCTTTTGTTTTCTGTAATCCCTCTCAAAACAAACGTTTGCTGAGTCGACTAGAAATCTTGGTGAGACTATAATTTATGGACGACCTTTGAGTGACGTTGAAGTGACCTTCAAAGTGAACAACTACTAATTAGGACTACTTAAGGGTTATAAAGCAGTTGCAATTCCCATGTACAGTTGATGGTTAAAATTAAAAACTAGATTTTGGGTTTTCATCACGAACTAACATCAGCTATAATGCCAAAACTCTATTTAACCAAATGTATGGATGAATTCTGCGCCCAAATTCGTGACTCCTTATCTTATATCTGATTGTTCCGTCCATAAATTATAATCTCGCCAAAATCTTAATAGATTCTCAAGAGATGGTGGGAAAGATATGTAGCTCAGGTGGATGATTTTGATGGAGTTTTGTTCGCTGAGCTGGATGGTTTGGGCGTGGAGCTTACATCGTTCTTCTGAACGACGTCATCAGCACAAACATCTGAAAAGATGATAACAACATCGATGTTTTACCATGTCTTTTCCTTGAATTTAGGACTTATTGTCTGCAAGTACGCACTCGGAAGCTCAGAAAGCTAAATAGAAACGCCAATTTCTGTAGTGCTATTTCATACACCGAGTCGAAATTTTCTGGAGTTTTCTACTAGAACACGTAGTATCAGAGCCTCAAATTGGTCCTTCCAAAGAGATCAGATTTTCACAGCATTGCAGATTGCCAGAATAAAAGCAGGTAGCTTGACCGCCAATCTTCGTCTTTGAAGACTACTGAACAAATATTTCAAGTCATCAAACTGATGAAAATTATGAAGAAAGGCAAGTCGTAAACGATCCAAAACGTCCGCCTAGGCGTGCTTTAAGAAAAAGAAGTTTTTCTCTCCAGAAACAACCATTCCTGTACCCAATGCTCGAGGGTTCAAAAACCGATACGGAATAAATTCAGTGCACGATTCCATTTTTTCTCATCGAAATGATAAGGGTTGAAATTTTCTGTCCGAAAAAATGGTGTCAACATCCTAAGTGGACACTTACAATAAAATGCTGGATGTTTCAATACGCTGTGCAACGGACTTTCCCTCACAATTACTGAAATCGCATGTTATGTACTAAGATAATGCTGCCTAAATTCCAAGTTGTTATTTTCGCTTCATTATTTTTACTATTCGTTTTATTGACTTCAACATTATTTCTCTTGAAGGAGTCTCAACTGCAGTTTGTCGTACTGAACATCTGGTTACTCTTTCATTCCATTATTTTCAAATGGAAACATTGTAGACACCGATGAAGATTGACTAGCCGCTAACATTTTACAAGCTGACTCAAGTGAAGTGGAAAATCGTTTCACAAGTTGTCGAAAGTCGGTGCATCAAATGCGAAGTTCTGAAACTTCCAGTACTGTTTTACATCGACAAAGAAAAACCACTCCAGATCACTATTTTTTTCAATCATGGAAATTTCACAGCCTGGCATCAAGACCGTTTCGAATTCCCGAATGAAAAATGATAAACACATATTAAAAACACAGTGAAATTATAAATCAAGAGGTTTACCAGAAACTGTCAATCAGAACGAAGAGAGACTCTTATTAACGTCAATTGGAACGTCAGATGTGCACGATATGTTATAAATACTTTGTAAAGACTTCGTCAACAATTTAAACAAGTAGAAGTTTCAAACAACAAGTTGAATCACTTGCAAATACCAAACCAAATAATCCTAGAAATTTGGTTGTTGAAAAAGATAAATGGTCAAACAATTGATATAGTAATGCTGGCTACCAATAAACAACAATCAGCGTAAACTTCGTTAGTACCTGCTGAGCTAGATTAAGCTTCGAGTATTCTTTTGGAAGATTCGCCTGACGAAAGCACTTATGTGGCTCCCAGTAGGAAGTCACACAAATTACTGATGGGAATAACGAAAATGGTTTAGTGAAATTTCGTGCGACCACCTTAGTTTTCTATCGTGAATGAATGTCTTTTGAATGTGACATATTAGCGAGACGTATGAGCTGACTATTCTGTGAAGTATGAACAACACAATACATCGTGATCACATCTTTATTAATTCCCTGGTTATGAATTTTCTTAGGAGCTGGGCTGGACTTATTTTCAGTCACACAAAAAGGTCATTCAATCAAGATAAATAGTTCTAAATGGAATAGAATAACCCTACGTTTGATGGGCTTTTGCACCTATCAGCGATGGATCATCGATGACTCTATGTTGGAACCTACGTATATCAAATGATAAAACAGAGCATTGTTCGCAGATCATATTGATACGATGTTTCAAATTTCTAAGAATATATCAGGTTTTTTCTTAAAGGACTCCTGGAAAGTCAATCGCACTTGCTCAGCCGGCAGCGAATTCTACTCTTAAGGAGTAGAAAGTGTGCCTACAATTTGTTATGCTATGTTGTGCCTTTAATTTCTGGGTGTTGCTCCAAGGTTTGTGTTGAGGTCAAACTTAAGTGGTTGTTTTAAAAGAGTGTCTAGGCCTGTACAGAATGCTATAAGTCATGACGATTTCATAACTGAGACGCCTTTAAAACAATGGGTATAGATTCAGTGGTTTGAGACGCTCTTTATAAGGTTTTAATTTGAATCCTCAAACTGATTTCGTGGTTCATAGTGTATTGCTATCCTTTCGGAGAAGAAGAAAACACTTCTTCCATACTTTAAATGTGGTCGAGCAAAACTGTTTAAGACGGAGTGGATAGTTTTGAAGTCGAACTGACCAAAAATGAGTTTCAACGTTACCAGCCCAAGGTTTTCCCAAGAGGAATTTTTGTTGCAGTTGACGTGAGACTTTTGGTCGTTGTTATCCGGACGACTTTGAAGTTGTGTCACATCCTCCTGTAGTGGCATCATTTAATCCTGGTTTAAAACCTCTCTACGAAGTTTCACATCATAAGCGAAAAGCGATGAATCAGACCGTGCATGCTAAGAGAGGTCATTTATGCGTACTGAGAAAAAGTAGGTTCCAGAATTTTGACAC